GATAAAGATCGATGAATTCAAGCTAAGAAAACGCGTTGATCTGCACCCATCGAAACTTCAAGGGAGTATGAAAAATAGTTAGTTTATTGCTAAAGTCTTCGGTTTATTGCTAAAGTCTTCGGTTTATTGCTAAAGTCTTCGGCCGATGAAGACTCAAAATAAAAGAAAGAAGAGAGACCCTTAAACCGCGTAATTTGAAAATGAATCTCACACAAGCCAAGAATAATATGATGAGTAATCTCATCAAACTTCCATTTTTTCAATGTCTTTTGTTTGGGTAGGAATTTTTCTAAAGGTGACAAAGGTCTGTGCTTTCAGTAAATGGAGTCTGAAACTCGTCGGCAATTGACAACCACACGCAAACGCGTTTGTTGCTTTGATTGACTTCAAAATGTCGTCTTTTTCAAACGGCAACAAACTGCAACTTGTGTTTAGACAAATTCTTAAGCTTCTTAGAAGTTTGTCTCTAACACAAAGGTGGAGACGAAGGAGTTTGTCTCTAACACAAAGGTGGAGACGAAGAGCGTTCCTGAAAGAGCTAACAAACCCTAACATAATAAACAGTGTGACATATACTTTTTATCCCGTAGGTTATTGTCTATGTTTTCTTTGTTGACGCTGATGTTCCATAACTTACATATACTGTATATATTTGTTAACTCTTGCAGATACTGTCCGATTAGGCACTCATTCAGGTAAGTAATGAAACACTTCCTACTGAATCTATTCTGTGATCATGAATATGACATGTGCATTTCGCTTATTTTTTTTTTTTCTCATGTTGCAGTTGTTCTTTAGTGATAAATCTTATTTACCATTATAGTTGTATCTTGAAAAACTTGTTGTGCTCTGATTAACAGCACTACCTTGGGTATATTTGCATATGGATACTGAGATGGAGATCCAATATGAAGAACACGGCACAAACGTAATAGACAGTAGTAATCTAATTTTCTTGTTTATTTTGTGTGCTTTCTTTGCTTATGCAAACTCTGCAATTCATAGCTAATACATGTTATATCTGATGATGACTGTAGATACCGCGGGACAAGGAACACGATCTGGTAATTACTGAAACCGAATCTGTCTGATCTTGGATAACATTTCTTTAATGTTTTATTTGCCATCGTTGTTTTCTAACATAACTGTCTATCGTTATGCGCTCCTATGAATCTAGAAAAATACTAAAGCTGAATAAGTAATTAAAGTATATTTGCTGTCTTTGGAGCAACTGTGAAAATTATTATTTTAATAATTAATTATATGAATAGTTTATTATTATTAAGGATAATTGTTCATTATTACTTAGTTATGTATCCACCTTTTTATTTTCTTGTAAATATTTTACCAATGTTTATGTAATTAAGTTTTGAGAAATGATTTTTCAGATCTATTTTGTTTGGATAAAAAAAATACAATAAGAGAAATAATGTTATACATTAAAAATATATATTCTTTTAAAATTCATAAGATACAAACTATCAAATTAAAAAATATTTTTGTATAGTTATTATAAATTGTAAGAATAATGGGCTTAATTATGATCAGTATCTTACTCTTTGATTTTGTTATAACATCATAGTTACTTCTATATTTTCGTTTCCAACTTATTGGTTAACTTGCCTTGAAAGAATTGACCAATGAACTAAAAAACAAATTAGATAGAGAAAAAACAAATTGGTTTATAAATAAAAGATAAAAAGACAAAAAAAATAGTAAAATCCAATTTTTCACTTGCAGATGTCAAGTTCTTATTTTATATAGATAATTTGCCTACTACTCAATAATTGCTCATTAGATTTTTAAAATAGAAAAATTATAGTAATAGTGCATTACAAATTTCTCGAGTTTGAAAGTACATATTATTTATATCACTCATTCAGTGGCAGAGCTTATATTCCATTCTCTCAATTTTTTTTCCACATATTCCTTATTAAAATATGTAATATCTTAAAGTATGAGTTTTCAAAAAGTTGATCTTATTCTAGATTAAACTCAAATAATTATTGAATTTAAAAATGCAAAGAAAGATAATAATCTTTATTATTGCTTTTTTACTGACTTGCTTATTTATTATTAATTACTAATTAATAATTTTATTACTATATTGCCAATATCATATTCAATTACTTTAAAATTCAATTAGTTTAAAATTTTAAGTTCAATATTTTATTATTAATGTTCTTAATTATTTAAATTTGAATTATATAATTCGTTGAAAAAAAATAGAAATATATTTGGCTTTAATAGAATTTTTTTTTATATCTAATGATTATTATAAAAACAAGATTCTGAAATAAAATGAAAGATAAATTCTTTACACACTATATAATTATTTGCATTGAAAAAGATATAACTAAAATTTTAATTTTGAATTAATTATTGATGGTTCAATAATTTGAAAAGACAATCTGTTAAATATATATAATTTTTTTTACAGTTATAACTATATTAAATTAGGTATTATTTTTGTTGTATTATAGTAACAGTAATAAAATATATATAACTTTAAATGTATTATTAATGATGAATTTTGTGTTGGAAGGAAGGAGTAAGTTGAACTCCATTAATTATATCTGGCCTGGCCAAGGGTGAAAGCAGGTTGATTGGATTTCTTTGTTTTGGCAGGAAAACATAGAAGACCCTCCTCGTAAAACACCACTGAGAAACCCTCCTCCTGAAACACCGCCAAGACACATTCCTATCAGCTTCATGGAATGTATAACTTTAATAGTATTGAACATAGAGGATATTCCTGCGAATCTTCATTACATGTTGCTAGTGTCGGGTGGTGCTTTTCTAAAATTCAAAGCAGAAAAGATGACGGCTCGATTTGATTTCAAATTGGAAAACTTATCTGACACAGCACTAGTACTGTTGACCTTTGGGGAAGCCTTTGGAGAGTTTAATCCAGAGATCACAGATAAAATGACAATCATGGTGGGTTGTCTTCTAGTTTTGTTGCTGATTTGGCCACTGCAACCAGTGTATCAGATTTCTATCATGCTATTATTGATTTCTGAATCACTTCACTATATTTTTAAGTTGTTCGGCAAGTTGTCAGGGGTTGGTGTGACTTGCGGTGATTTCAAACTTCCTCTCCTCTGGTTTACTACTACAGCGGCTTTTGCGCTTTCTCTCATTGTTTGTTTTGTGATTTTGTTCATGATTTACCATATCCAGAGATATGTAGGTGCAGGGAGATCAAAAGTGAGAGAACCTGATTTTACTTCCAAAGATTTTACGGTAACTGTTCAGGGAAAGGTTGGTGAAGTTGAATCATACAAAGAGCTTCATGTCGTAGTTGATTAAGCTCTCAACAATATATATACCCATTAGTTGACATATATCAAAAACTAATTTCGTGTTGAAATTCGTTGCTTATGATCTGCGTCGTATTCAGTATTTACTATTGGACTTAAGGTCCAATAACTCATGAGTTTCGCTATTATTCTGCTTGTATTTATATCTTATCTTGCATGTATTTTATGAACATTGCTTTCGTGTCTGATAGTTTGTTTTTCTGTATGATAGACCTTTGTGTGTGATAGTTTGTTGTGTGTATGTTAGCTTTTTCGTCTACTTCCTTTTGTGTTTATCTTCTTTCTTTCATTTCCACGAAGGTGTGAATTCTCGATATGGTATCAGCATGTTGAACCTGCTCCTTTTTTCCGTTGTGCCTTCTTCTATATTTATTGGACCGTCTTCTTGCTCTCTTTTTGTTCTCACTTGTTCCTAGTTTTTTTTTTCATGAATAATGGGAACATTGATCTTTCACAAAACCCTTCAAGTTCTTACTTACATTCAAGTGAGAATCCTAATTCTTCTTACTCCTCGTCTAAATGGAACAAATTATCCTCTTGGAATGAAGAAATGCTCTTTTATCAAGAACAAAGTCAAGTTTATCGATGACAACATTACAAAACTGACACGAGATAATTCTATGTTTGATATATACGGTAGTATTGTAGTTTAATTTAGTTCTGTATAGTTTAGTATTGGAAGATGTTGTTTCTATTTTGTTATATAAGCAACTTTTTGTAAAATTTAAAATATATAATAAAATAAAAGTACTTTTCTGTATATTTGTGGACGTAAACATATCATTTTATATTTTAGGTTGAACTAGTTAAATTTTTGTGTCATTTTTTCTTTTAGTGTCTTCCTAATATTGGTAAAAAACGATGCAATATATATCATGGTTATCTCATGGATAATACGAATTTTGACACTGCAGAGACACGTATACATTGACAATGCAAAAGAATTATGCAAAGATTCAAGGGAAAGATTTTTCAAAGGTAATTATTTTTGGATCTTTGATCTGTTACAAGAAATAAATTCGATAAACAAAGAGAAAGAAGAGTTTTTTTTTTTTTATTCTTACACATTCTTTGGGAAGAATGTTGTTAATCATCTGGGAGCAAGAAATGTTTCTTGGCATGTGTCAAATAAAAATGATTCTCAATGTCATTAGGTTGAAATTAATTAAGTTATGAAATTCTTACTTGAATACTCAACCAAATTAATCCTTCAATCTGTTAAAAATAAAANTTATATTTTAGGTTGAACTAGTTAAATTTTTGTGTCATTTTTTCTTTTAGTGTCTTCCTAATATTGGTAAAAAACGATGCAATATATATCATGGTTATCTCATGGATAATACGAATTTTGACACTGCAGAGACACGTATACATTGACAATGCAAAAGAATTATGCAAAGATTCAAGGGAAAGATTTTTCAAAGGTAATTATTTTTGGATCTTTGATCTGTTACAAGAAATAAATTCGATAAACAAAGAGAAAGAAGAGTTTTTTTTTTTTTATTCTTACACATTCTTTGGGAAGAATGTTGTTAATCATCTGGGAGCAAGAAATGTTTCTTGGCATGTGTCAAATAAAAATGATTCTCAATGTCATTAGGTTGAAATTAATTAAGTTATGAAATTCTTACTTGAATACTCAACCAAATTAATCCTTCAATCTGTTAAAAATAAAATCAACCAAATTAATGCTGCTACTGATCATGATGAGTCTTTTATTTAGCAAGAAAAAAAATTGATAAACATATTGATAATACTTTTTTACTTCCAACTATGCATCGCAATTGCGAGGTTTTAGCGATTTATATTATTTTGTCCAAGGAAAACTTTAGAGTCGTTTGTTCCGTCTTCTTCCTATAAAGAGAGTTGATTAATCAACAAATGGTTTTATCAGAGCTCTTGATCATGGATTTTTTATCATGCACATTTCCAAGCTAGGTATGATGAATACTATCCTCAAAGAAAGTGCTCGAACAAGAGATAACTTTGTATGTATTTTATGAACAAGGGATAACGTTTACTATTTCACATATGATAGGTGTACATCCAAAATTTTAAATAGTCATAAAAAAAAAGTAAAATTTTGTACTTGTAAAGTAAAAGAGGAAGTGAAAAGTAGTGAAAGGTGTTGTGAAATCGGTATTGCAAAAGTGTTGCATGGAGGTTGCATGATATTGGTACTGTAACAATCCAACCCTCTGTTCATGCGTTATTCTTTCTCGGATGTCTCTTCAATTTTAGCAATGATTATGAAACAAAGTTCATGTTGTATAGGTTTGTTACAACAAAACGTGATCTTCATCCTTAAAATGGTCTAATTTTTTTTGTTAATAAGCTTGAGACAAATTGCGGTTTCTCTCCCACAAGTAAAAGGGAGTTGGTTGTTTCACAACTTAAGAAGTTATTGAAAAATTTAGAAGAATTTTTCTTAATTAGATTTGTAAGAGAAAATATAAATATGAAATAATAACATTCAAAATATAATTCTTTAAATTATACTGTAGATATATTATTGATAAAAATGAAAAGATTAGGTTAAAAAAATTGCTTCGATAATATTGTTTGGTCATTACCGACGAAATACGAGTCTTCGATAATTTAAAAAATTAGATTAAAAAAAATTGGGGGGTCAGTTTTCCCTTTTCAAAGACAAAGAATCCTGATATAGAACAGAGCAAAGGCTCCTTCTTTGCAACCCTTTTCATCATCATTCCTTTTTTGCAGAGACTCCATTGTTTCCTGCTT